TGACAATGAAGCGTGTTCTGAAAAATTAATCTGTAACCGAACTGAACTGCTCATTTTTTGTTTTGGTTTTGTTTTTTTTTTTTGTTTGTTTGTTTTTTTCCAAGTGGTGTACTGTGCGTAGAGACGCACAGATTCAGTAATGGAACAAGTCAAAGCACAATCACAACACAAAGTCCTCCGGTTGTTGGCTTTAGTGTCCAAAGGAAAGCTGTTTCATGTGAAAACGCTGTGGTACAATGATACACAGGGAGTCCTGGATTGGCTAGGAGCCAGCCTCAAATTCAGCGTCGATGAAGACACATTGACCGTACTCCAGAGATTTCTCTCACTGCATGAGGCAAAAGATGTAGTGGTCAGCAGTATCGATGAGGAGCCACAGCTCAAGGGGAAAAAACGTTTACTCGTTTACATAAAGCAAAATCCAAACCGAGTTAGTGAGACAGACACATGTATATTGTTCTTGGTGCAAGCTACATGCGAACCCACCGCGCACTGGGACGATTACCGCCTCATGAAACAAAACATTTGTCAGGCTGAAAAGACCTACAGATTATTGCTCTCTACCTTAACAAGCTGTACTTATAATCCTCTGTTTCTCCAGCCCATTAGCCAGCAAGCACATCCTGTATTTGACAGCTTTTTGCCCCATAAGTACAATACTACAACACCAAAAGTGCCCCCGTACGCCACAGATTCATTTGGAGCAAAGCATGAATTGCTTAAGTGTACTGCAGTCTCAGAGCCTTGGAGTGTGTACTCACTAAACGAGCAGAGGGAATATAGTGTCGATTTGGAACAGTTAATAACTAGTCCTGGCAAAGTCTTGGGTCGGGGAGGTTTTGGCGTTGTCGTTGAAGTGGATAAGAATTGTGCTGCAAAAATAAACCTGTTCCCTGAAATGTGTGACTGGAGTGTACCGGTGTTACCGCCACAGAATGAATTTTGTCACTATGCCCATATCGCTTGTCAGACTGAAGAAATCATGCTGGGGGTTTCAATAAAACACCCAAATATCCTGCGTGTTTTCGGGGGACTGTGGTGTGAAATTCCAGGATATCCCATGGGCAGGGCTGTGATGGTGATGGAAAGGGCAATGACCACTTTGCAAGAATTTGTCCTTTATTGTGGAACATCAATGCTGCCCGTAGCTGAAATGGACACTTTGCGAGGTTTGCATTACCTGCGTTCTAGAATGATCCGTCACAGAAATTTAACTTATAAAAATATACTGGTGTGTCATCAGCCAGACAGAACACTCATACCCTTTGCCTTCAAAATCAGTGACTTTGGAACTGGATGTAACTTTTCTACGCCAAGTCAGCGCCGGGGTAACAGAACTAACATGCCTCCTGAAGCCTTATGGTGTTGTGACACTGCCAGTGGGAGTGATATTTTCAGCTGGTATTGCTTAATGTGGGAGCTCCATAGTGGCACACCACTGATAGAGTACAAGAACACTTCAGGAGAGGTTTGTATAATTACATATGCAAAAAATCTGTCAAATTTGGTGGGAGTCTACGCCCCAGACAAGGAGGAAACATTAGATGCTTCTCACATGAAAGTGTTTCATGCGCGCGCATTATATGAACAACACGGGGAACATGTGAGGCCAAGTGCAGACCATATACAAAGGTGCCTTGACGCTGCGGGCAGCAACATGCCGGATAAGGGGTTTGTTTCAATGGGCAGCCTGTGTATAACCTTGTTTCCACAGGAGAGACAGTCTCCTGCCCAGCTGCTGTCACTTCAGCGCTACACAATTTTGGCACAGCACACTGGAGATGTGAAGCTACCACACCAAATGATGTGTCCTACGCATATTCGTGTGGGACAATACACGCCGCGTGATTTAATAATAGCGCAGGACTGCATGCCTGCCGGGCTGGACGCAGTCACTTCGCCGGAGCGCTGTCCAATACAGTCCACAAATAAAGTCCACTATGGCTTGGATATATACAGACTTGCCCCCGGAGTAATAGAACCTTTTCAGTGGTATAGCGATAAGGTGAAAACTCTCGTATCTCAAAACAATGGCAGACGCACGCATGCGACTGGGGATGCCACAGTGCATTTGCCGCCCACCACGAGCATCTGCCAAGTAAACATGGATCTTAACAACAGAACACTCCTTCCCTCCACGAGTGCTCTGAAATCCTCTGCCCACAAGCCAGCAAATGCAGCACTTGTACATAAAAAGCGAAGTGATGGAGAAATGCCCACGTCTATGGTTATTTTAAGTGCTCAAGACGAAATACAAATTAAACGTTTCAAAGAAAATATTGTGCTTGCCTCACTAAACCTAACAAGTACATATCCACATTTGTTCCTAGGACCTAGGAAAGATCTCTGCAAATGCTCAAGACGTGATGGTGTGTTCATCTTTCAGTATTCACACGCGTGTGAAACACATAGACTTGTGGACTGGCTGGAGACTATACATCCTGGAGACACACCGCACGCGTTTTTGCTGCAGCTTTTTCTCACACTGAAGACCGCTTTAGATTTGAGCATGTTACCGAGCCACATTACACAATGGAAATATTTTCTCATCAGTAAAGGAGCTGTTATTTTTGATATCGTTCCATATCTCACAGACTACTTTTATGAGCCTCAGGAGTCAATGTTTGGAAGGGAATGCAAATGTTTGGTTAGTCTCTGTGTCGCGCTTGTGTTACAGTTTTTACCCAAATCCAGTCTGTGCGAAAAACTACTCCTGCTCAGTCCCGCTACTTCCAGTTTGGATGTGATCTCACAGTCAATTATGTGGTTGAGACAGTTTGATCGCAGTGACAGAATCACCCCACACGTATCTGATCCAGAGGCCAGTAGCCTCTTTTTCACATTTAAAGACTATCTGTCTAACCTGCCTTGTTGGCTCACATGTACAGGGGAAGAAGAGTCAAAGGGCAAAAGAACCTGGGCTACACTGATGCTGTATGGAAAACCAAGGCCATTCATGTACGATCAGACATCTGAACATGTTAATCGCAACAAGCTGACAGCAATAGTACGAAATTTATTGTTGATATTGAAATTCAAGATCTTTGGTTCCTCCCGCCTCAAATGTACTGTATTGGACTGCACACAGGGTTTGATCACGATAACTCTCTGCACCTCAGCGCTGTGTGGATATTGTAACATACAAGAACTAGAAAAAGATAGGCTACAAAACTGTAAGGGTGCCTGTTTCACACATGATGTGGTCTCACTGACAGAATCCAAGTGGGCCCCAGTCATTATGTTTACAAAAACCAAGACATTGGAGCCTAGTGATATACTGAACATTGAATGTTATGATGTTGTCATCTTAGTGGTTCTTCTAAGTGCAAATGGCTCAGTAAAGAGTCTAAGACAGCTTTTCCAGGATGTGACATTGAGAACTGAAAGTTTTTAAACAAGACAAATACCATTAATGACACAACATGTCATGGCATCACTGACAAAACTGCTCCTCACATGAAATGGAACAGTTGTGAGCTGGAGACATTTGTCAGTTGTTGGTTTTTGTTTTTTTGGGGGTTTTTTTTTGCAACTTTGAATTTTTATTATCACCATTTATATTTTTTGCTGTCTGTTATTATATTCTATTGTGATGTGTGAGCTCCTGTGTCCAAATCATTTCCCTGTGGATCAATAAAGTTTGTCTAAATCTTAAGTCTGTGCAATTTTTTGGGGAGAGTAAGTGCAATTGTGTTAGTTGACTCAACAAAGAAATATATACTGTAAATGTGTGTGTGTGTGTGTGTGTGTGTGTAGAGTACAGAATACTGTACTCTATCTCTATCTACTCTACTGAAAACTGTTTCTGCAGACAACAACAAAACTACTGACAAATACTTGAAAATATACCATTTGTGTAGTAGCACTTGCTGCATTTACAATTCAAGTCTGTGCATGTACTGTATGATGTACAGTATGTGTGTGTGTGTGTGTGTGTGTCAGGGTTATGTGAATGACCATGTAAGTCTTCATAGTAATCGTCCTATGGTTGTTGTACAATGCACACTTAGCATGTAGCTAATACCACTAAACATAAGTGTGCTTTTGTTACGCTTATAAACCGTGTTTGTAAAGCACAGGCGTAAAGGCGGAAGACACCAACACAAGCAGAAATAAAGCTCAGCGTTATAGCCTGTCTCTGCTGCTCCTAAGACTGTTGCCTCTCGCACGGAAGACCGGACTTTGATTCCAGTCTGCACGCTTTCTGTCTGGTGTTGTGAAGTGAGGCAGCATAATGACACATTTGAATACACACAATGTTACATTTATTATTTATTACACATTGAAATTGATTACAGAAATATCCAACAAAATGTACAAGAGCTTAGTCAGAGGTACAGTGCAGTGTGGTGGCTTTGTTGTCCTCCTGGTACCTGGACTTGGCAATGCACTGTTCCAAAGTTGCTATGATCACCAGTGGTAGATCACCTTCAGGGTGTACTGTGTCCGTAAATCCTGTGTCCTGATGTACATGTAGGTGAATAAACGCAGACAACTTGGACCACTGTTTGTGTCGTGTGTGTGTTTTATCAAAGAACATTAGCACTAGAAACCTGTTTTCAAATCGTCTGTGCAATTGGGCATGATTTAGGTATGGAAAAAAACACAGGGCAAGCATAATCACTTTTCTGTAAAAATCCCCCCTCTGTGCTTGTTTGTCATTAAAGCTGAGAGTCATCTTTGCGATAAATCGTTGTATCACACGTTCACACGAACCAAACAGAGTCTGAATGGCTATGGCGCTTCTCGTTACGGCCTCCTTTACAATGTCTGACGCAGCATCTCTGGAACAGGGCAGCGTGGGTTCTGGATGAAACTCTATTACTTTAGCCAACTCCACAATTGACTTCATCCACGGTTTGTGCACAAGCCCAGGAGTCCACTGTGTAGTCGTGTACTCGGCAGTAAATTCCCGTGTGAGCAATGTGGAATATAATGCAACCAGAACCGGAATGGAGGATTTGAGTACAGCGTGATATCTCTCCACATCTCTGTTATGCATGGTGTTTTCCATTTCTCCAAAAGCCATCTCTGCACTTTTGCTAGGGCACCGTCCTCCACCAAACTCCAACTCAGGCCTAGAGAAAGTCAGTAGAGTGACTACCGGGCACGTTTGCCTCATGGACTCTGCATGCACGTAACCGTGCTGTGTTGTGGTAACCATGGCTTTTATGAGACGGCAGCTGGAAGCTGAGCAGACATGCCTGGCGCTGTGTAAAAAACACACATACCCCCCATTGTAATCTGTAAAGGAGCACCCATTCTCAACACAGCTTGTCACCCACTGCAAGTCATCTATTAACTGTAAATGGAAATGAAACATGACATTAGTTACACTATATCTCTATCTATCTGTATCTATATAGATATCTATGTCTATCTATATACACTTTTTTTTCTATTTATATATAAATATAACATATAACTCCTGTGTGTGTGTGTGTGTGTGTGTGTATGTATGTATGTATATACACAGTGTGTATATATATATATCTTATTTTGGTTTAAATCACTGTTACTGAAAATGTCAAAATGCCCATTTACAAAACAAGTCACACATATATGCACTCATATATATATTGTACAGTGTTATACACATTCAAGTATGTCTTTGTATTTATTTATTTATTTATTATTTTAAAAATGTTCTTTTATTTTGCAGGCCAGCAGAGGACAGAGTGCCGATCTAATCTTGGTGGATGAAGTTGGATTTGTGAGTGCCAAGGTGCTGTTGGCTGTCTTGCCAAATATTGCGTTCAAGGGGCGTAAGCAAGTACATATCACAAGTCACGTTTGCAGCACACCTTGGCTTAACAAAGTCTCAGAGATACGTGGTGAAAACGGAGAGCCCGCGTACCATGTGGTTTCACAGAGCTTCAAATGCCGGTACCATGCCAGGGACCCGGGACTCACATGTTCCTGCTTGGGAGTCTACTGTCCAGAATACATATCCGTCGACTGTCACCTGAAGCAACTTATGAATATGATCACACCCAAAGGGTTTGTGAGTGAAGTTACAGGCAGCACCAGCACCTCATCTGCAGACACAAAGAGTGACAAGACGACTCCCTTTGAGCCCCGGGTCATAAACAAGTTTTTGTCCAACAACTGTGTAACAATGGAGAATGTGGCTCGTGGCGGTATTGTCAGAGCATACTTGTGTCTTGATCCGACCTTTGGTGGGGGTTCAATGTCCTGTGCTGGGTTATGCTGTGCTGTGGAGTTGGCGAACAAGAAGCTTGTGGTAAATCCCTCTCATTCTTATGCCTTCTACTACTACTACTACTACTACTACTACTACTACTACTGCTGCTGCTGCTGCTCCTGCTGCCTCTGCCTACTAATCCTGACACCAATAAGTCCCCTAACATATAACTGTAATCTATGTTATGTTCTTTCTTACTCTGATCAAAAGGTTGTGCACAACTATCAGGAGGATTGGATATATCTAGAAGGGTGCAAATGTAAGAGCTGATACGGGCTTGATTCTGTATAGTTAGTGTAGTTTCTGTGTCTGGAACAAAACACGACAATAGATCCAGGACCTGGGTCCAAGTACGGCACGTACAGATACTGTCTGACAAATTAAAATTCCACGCAGTTACGGCCAGAGCAATTATTGTGTGGTGGAATACTTGTGCATTTTTCATCTCCTTTATCATAGCAATAAACTTCAGGGGTGAACTGCGAATGGTTTCTGCAGAGGCAAACAGTGCGAGGACCAGATGCGCATGTTCGTGCCAGTTGCAGCTCTCGATGCATTCGTGCAAAAGTTGCTCTGGGACATGATTCCCTATTAACATCGCTATAATCTTGACCAGCGCAGTGGAGACGCGGGGTGGACTGGGTGCACTGTCCAGAGACGCTCCTTTCTTGTACATGGAAAGCACAGTGTCCATCTGTACAATTCTAGCAGCCGAAAAGGACACAAGTTGACTGTATAGGCATTTCAGCTCTGTGAGATGCATGCTGGAGTAAAAGTCAATGTTGTGCCTAAAACAAGCCAACACGATCATAAAATCATAATGATTTATGATATAGTCCCAAGGAGCCTTCATCAGTGCTGTCAGTTCTCTCCGAGAACCTTCACATGCAGGGCAAAACATGATGTGATTATTATTTTTAAATGATTAAACTAAAAATACAAAATGATAATAAATCCCAGAAAGTGACTGTATTAGACTGCACACTTTTGCCTATAGTTATCCTTACCTCCTTACTGGTTTAATGACCAAGCAGGCCTAACCTGCAGTCTTTTATATAGCTCTGTTACGTAGTGTACATGAATTTATTCTCTGTCTTGCAGGTCATGGCTCTTGAGGAACTGGAAATCAAAGACTTGGATCAAGTGACCCAAGTTTATGCAGCTCTGTTAAGTGGACATATTAGATTGTTGAAACTATTACTACCCAGAGTGATGTGGAAAGAATTACCAGTGATAATTGTCTTTGAACAAAACACATATGTGAATGCTCTGTTTGATGTTAAAGCTGCCCTTGAGCAATCCTTGGCACACTTTGGGCTTAATGTATTGTTTTACCATAAATGGTCTCAGATTAAGAACAAGTATGTGTTGGGAAAGTATGTTGGGGCAAAAACCAAACTCGAAATGGTGTTAAGCACAGTTTCTGCAATTGATCATGAGACTCTGTGTTACTGTGACACTGTAATGTCACTGGGTTGGTCCATTTTGTCAGAGGCTAAAAAGAAAACTAGAATCCTGGAGACTAGTATGGGCATCTCTACAGGCACTGGATGTAGTAGCAAAATGGGCTCTACCAGGGAAATATTTATGTACAGAAGGTCCAAAAAAGGAGTGAATTTACCCACAGATATTACAGCTAGCCTATTGGACAATTTTGACATTATAACTCTGCCAGGGGACAAGTTGGCTGACAAAGCCCATGCAGAGCAAGGTAAATTGCTTTTGGGGAAACTGAGAGAAGAGATGACAATGGTAACTATTACAGAATCTATAAAAACTGCCACAGTGATCACTGGAGGCAAAAGGTCTGCAGCTGGACAGTACACCAGGGACGACTTGCTCTCTGCTTTTTTACTCCTATGTCACACCCGGGACGAGATACACAGTCACGATGAATCAGTCAAAATTAGCAGTGGTTTATTAGTGACAAACTTAGTAAATTCATGATTTTCGATTTGTGTAATTCACATGTATGGTTGGTTGTAATAATGTTTTGTCTGTAAACCACTAAATATATGACTGTGAAAACTGTCTTTTTCGCAAGAAGAAGAAGAAGAAGAAGAAGAAGAAGAAGAAGAAGAAAGGAAAAGATAATTCTGAACTTTAACTAAAATATCTTACTGGTCAATTATGATTTATGTTTTTTTTTTTTTTTTTTTTTTTTTTTTTTGTATCTTCCTTAGTTTCCTTTTAAAAAAATATAAATAAATGAATACACTTTTCTACCTCGTTTTTTTGTTTTGTTTTGTATATACTTATATCCATCACCAGAGGGAGCGCTTTTTCAACTTACTTGTTTTTTCTTTGTGTAAAAGTTGTGGTTGAAAACTGTGACTTTCAATTCATGTGAACCTTGAAATGATGCAGTCCGCTTAGGAGCAGACATAAAAGAGGGAGAAGAGCAGAAATGCGACCAGAGTTTTGTTACGAAAAAGCAGAAACGCGCAGACCTCAAAGTGAACCGAGCGTTTAATAATAAGCAGCGTATCCTTGTTATTTTATTTTAGTTATTTCTGTATTTACTGAAAGCTGTTCGTCCTTAGTTATAGTCATTCAACTGGCAATAACATAAGTTTATTTCATTTTTTCAACTTGCCTGTTTTTTGTTTGGTTCATTTCCTGGTTATTCGTCGGAGTTTGGCGTCATCGTGTGGATAAAAGCGACAACTGCACATTCACAAAGCACTTGTAGTTTTCCCATGTGGCCCTATAGGGAGTGCTAACTATTAAACTAGTTCATTTATAAATGTGTTTAATCATTGTAAGTAATAATGAGAATATATTATTACAATAGAAAAGACCATTTGTAACATTATTATGTTTTATTTGTCAAATGATAATTTCTGTGTCCTCCACAGACAACATTTTATATATTTGAAAATTATTATTGCATTGTTACTGTATAATAACTTGTGTCTATATTCCCTCATCCCGACATGTAACTGCTGACGAGACACAGCCATGTTTGTTGTACAAAAAAAAAAAAAAAAATTAAAAAAAGAGTCAAGGGCCACAGTGGAAATGGCCAATCAGCATCCAGCATTCAGACATTTAAACTGTGTGAATATTCTGAGATAAGATTCAAAATCCTGGAGAAGAGAAGTGAATGCAACCTGTGTCTTTGTGAGTGAACAAGCATGTTAAAAATGCTCAGCAAGACCTCAGGGAAGGGTAAAAAACACAATGTTTGGTGACCGTTTTATTCCCGTTAGAAACAGTAAACAGATGGACATGGCTAGCTTTTTGCTCACTAAAGAAAATGAACCTGACAACTGTATCTCTTCTTCTTCTTCTTCTTCTTCAGCAAAAGCCATATCAGTGACCCTAAATGGACATGATCTTGAAAATGCAAAAATCCTACAGTTTGGAGGAAAGACTGTAAATGCGCCAGAAGGCTACCAAAACAATTTGAAGGCCTCAACCAAAAAGACTAGTAGATACATTTCCTCAGTACCGGACAAAATATTGGATGCTTCTGAGTTTCGTAACGACTTCTATCTAAATTTGCTTGACTGGAGCAGTCGAAACATGCTTGCTGTGGCACTTCACAACAGAGTTCATCTGTGGGATGCAACTCAAGGAGATGTAATTTCTCTGATGAAGCTGGAGCGTGCGGAGGATTATATTTGTTCTGTGTCCTGGGCCAAAGATGGAGGCTATCTGGCAATTGGCACCAGTGACTGCGAGGTTCAGTTGTGGGATGTAGAGAAGCGGGAAATGCTTCGCAACATGGTAAGCCACACAGCCAGAGTTGCTAGCCTCAGTTGGAATGACCATATTCTTTCAAGTGGCTCTAGATCGGGACACATCCATCATCATGATGTGAGAATGGCTCAACACCACAGATCCACAGTGATTGCTCACTCACAAGAAGTATGTGGGCTCAAGTGGTCACCTGACGGGAGATACCTGGCCAGCGGAAGCAATGACTGTCTGGTGTGTGTATGGCCCCGTGTGTCAAATGGTGGTGTTGTCAATGAGAGCCAGGCTGTTCACTGTTGGAGTGAACACCATTGTGGAGCTGTTAAGGCCTTGGCTTGGTGTCCGTGGCAACCAAATATCCTTGCATCAGGAGGTGGCATGGATGACCATCACATACGCATCTGGAACGTCAACAATGGCTTTTGCATCAGTTCAGTAGACTCACAGTCACAAGTGTGTTCTCTTGTCTTTGCACCAAATTACAATGAATTGTTTTCTGCACATGGATATACCCACAACAATGTTGTTGTCTGGAAGTACCCTTCACTTACAAAGGTGGCAGAGCTCAATGGACACGCGGACAGAGTGCTCAGTGTCATTCTAAGTCCAGACAAGTCAACAATAGCAACTGCTTCTGGTGATGACACGGTTCGCATATGGAAAAGCTTCAAAATGGATCCTGTGAAAAAGAAGGCCATGGATTGCATTCATAAACCAATAACTGCTGGTTTGCACCGCTCTCTCAGATAATGAGCCTTGGAGTTTTTTTTTTATTTTGTTCTTATTTTTCCACAATATTAAATTAACTATTTTTATTTAACCTGTAATAAAGATGTTGCCCAGTATTTTACCCATAACTGTTGATGGTGTAAAAGTTTTGTTTTCTTTTGGCAAGTGCACATTTAGGGGTTTCTTTCACTGTTCAGTTTTAAATCTTAGTTTTTGCAGGTCAGTATTCCTTTAGAATTACCACAAAAGAAAGCCTTAAACATCATGTTACTTACGCCTTAAATGAGAGTAGTAGTGTTGTGATAATTGTGTGTAATTTTAAACTGAGTTTGTTGAAGCAAATCTGCATGGTACGTAGCCTCACGAACGTTCGTAAAGTTACCGCTAGAGACGCTCTGGTATACGTGTGTAATGTAAATTGCTGCTCCCAGTTATTTCCAGAATTACCAGCATTTCCTGATTTAATTTCATTTGTGTTAAAGGACTCAACATGCACTATTTGTTCAAGTAATATAGAAACTGTAATATAAATATGTTTACAACTATTTGTAATATTGTGAAATAAGCCAGGTAGTTTACAGTCTAGGTGCTTTCCATGTACAGTAAGATTGATGCACTTAGATCAGTCCTGGAAATGTAATCCTGAGTTTTGCTCTATGCTGAAACAAAGCCATGTATTGTAATTTTAAAGGTGCTGTATGTATGTATTTTGCACTGAAAAAATACAAGTGTATTTCAGTAAGATGTGAATTCAAGAAATGACTACTACATTTGGAAGTAAATGCCCTTTTATTTTGACTGCTGTTTCTGTCTTTCTGTGTACGGGACAAGCAAATGCATGTACATTTTATTGATGTAATAAAGCCACAACTTTTTCTAGGTATTGAAGGCTGTACCAAATGGTGAAGTTTCTCGAGTGCATCACATGTGCCTATATAAACATTGAATTTATATATTTGTTTGACTATCACACATTGAGTTGTTTAACCACTGAAATCTTATGTATGTTTAAAGGTACCACTATGTGAAACATGTTTGCTTTTAAAGTAATCCTTTGCAGATATAGGTCGTGTCCTTTTAATTAAGGAATTTCATTGTAAAGCAGCACCAGTGGACACGGGTGATTTACATTGGGCTGCTGTCAACCCCCTAAACCTAAAGGAATGCAGAGATACTCCAGAGAAGATTCAAGGCATTGCAGTATTCCACTGGTTATTTTTAAGAGAACACGCTGAATGATTTTTTGAGGACACCTAACATTATTAATGCTATACATGCTTTATAGCATTTTTTTAAAGGGGCATACATGAAATAATAAAGTACTACAAGACCTACGTATTACAATGTGTTGCTTTTGTCGTATAGCTGCAGTACATTTTTTAAACCACTAGATGGAACCCACAGACTTACCAACACAAGGGGAATCGTCGCCCATGTACCGCCAGAAAATCACACAAGACACATAAATGTGGGCAGTTTTAATGTATTTTTTACATGAATACATCATCAAAGCAGTATAATAAACAAATTGTAATTATAATAAGCAAAACTTATTACGTATAAAACTATAACATGATCTGTGCTTTCAGACTGATATTCCATGGTTTTGTACACTGCAGATTCTTTTTTTCATAATGACAAAAACACAAACGGCTATAATAAACAGAACAAGTGGGACTATGAAGATCGCTAGGTGAGATCTGACGGACGTTGGATCAGGGCTCAATTCGTCCACGTTTTCTGTCTCGTTTAGAAACACTTCTTCAGCCGGACGGACTATGAGCGTGACGACTGTGTCCTTGCGCAGGTCCGGGACGAAGCACTTGTACGTACCGTTGTCCGACAGCGCGACTCTTAGGATCCGGAGCGAAGCGACGCCTTCCGCGAACCGCTCGGGGAAAAGCTGCGTCCGGTTTATAAACTTAACACCGTGAGCGGTGTTAAGTCCAGGGGCGGGTCGCTGTGGCACGGGAGAACCACGTCATGGCCCACAGACGCCAGCACGGGCTGCGGCTCGCCGATTAACCGAGTCTCAGCTCGGACCAACGCGGACACTGAGATCCACACACACAGAATGTATGAAGCGGACATGATCCTCGCAATTGTCAATGTTTTATTTATTTATTTATTATATTATATTATATCATATGATATCATATTATATTATAGTTTTTATTGAATTATTATACATATATACAGACTGTCCCGAACAAGGGAACTGCTCGTGTGACATATTTCCATGGGAACTCCTGGAAACATTCTGTAGTTTCTGCAATTCGTTGTTGAACAGACTTGGAAACTAACAAAAGCACTCCCCAGTGACACGTACCTGGAAAATGCAATACAAAATCTGAATAAATATAGAATGAATAAATAAATACATTTGTATACAGTTTGTATGTGTAAAATCAGCAGTGGGAAAATCCTTAAACAATAGTTGGCCTTGCAGAAATACTCCAGCACATTGCACTATTACATAATGAAGGAACATAGGAAAGCGAGTTGCTGTGCTGTAGACAGGAAAAATACTGATGCTAGTTGCGCTACTTTTGTAAACTCACAACTTTAACTCGTTCAGCTCGGTGTGCAGTTAGAGGATGAAAAAAAAAAGTACTATTTTGTCTGCTCTTTTTGTCTCACTAAAAACCGTTTCAGACTCTAAAAGCCTGTATTGTGTGTCCTCGTGTGTGCTTTGAATAAATACTCTTAAATAATAATAAATACTTCTTACTTACTTACATATTGAGCAGCTGAAAGGTTTCTCCTGGATATTTTCATGTCTTTCAAGATGAACATTTTGGCCAAATGTTTTTCCACACATCTGTATGGTTTCGCTCCTGTGTGCACGCAGTCTCATGTGTAATCGTATTTTAGATTTAAACATAAACTTCTCTTTGCAGACACAGCATTTGTGTTTCTTGTTCTCAGCTCCTTTGCCGATTCCAGAAATGTCTGTGTTGTTCACAGCAACTCCATCTCGGTCTCTGGTGCACGCTTCCGCTTTACTTTCGCTCCACAGCAGCAGCAGATGTGGTAGTAAATACACACTGTATAACGGCGCTGGTTTTAGGATGACAGCGGTCCAAAAAATCTCTTCACACGGGACAACACGATAAAGTCGAAGTACCTTTTTACTCCGCAGGAGGTGGGGAAAAGGAACTTCGTTTTTTTTTTCTCCTCACCAAAGGGGCCTCTTGAGTTGCCCATGCGCACTTCTGTGGCGTGGCAGCACCGGCAGCACACACACAAATCATGGACCAGTGGCTTGCTCCTCGCTTCCTTTTTCTCAACAAGGCTAAGTTGTCGCAGTTTCTTCCGAAAGGCGCAGAATCTGTAAGCAATCGCTTCACTGGCCGTAAAACGAAGTTGCACAGTAATTGGAAAACTTTGCAGAACTCATGGGAAACGTTTCTTACAGAAATAGGACTGCACTGGTACGGCGACACAACCCGAGATGCCATACTTGAAACACTGAGACGCCGTCTGAACTGTGGAGTGCAGTTGTGCAGTATCCTCAGTCACATGGGAAACGCATGGTGGGGAGAAATGTACTCCGCTCGAGCGATTCCACTAGAAATTTATGAAGATTTGCAAAAGTGTACAACAGATGAAGGCCGGGTACCTGCAGCGGCCTTTATCCGCGGCTACCTCTTCACTATAGCCACTTCAGAAGCCACATTCTACAGAATTTATTTTACTGGATATGGGTATGTTTTGGATTCACACGGACACGTGAACCATGCATTTTTTTGTACGTTGCGCGAACTGATTGCATTTATTGAAGAAATTCATAAAGTAACGTTTGTGTCCAGGCCTTTCCCCACTTTACAAGAACTTTGTAGGAATACAATTTTTAATCGTCACCAATTATATACCAATACCAATGTTGTTCCAGAACACAAAGAAATATCTAGTAAGCAGCCCAACGTTGTTGGGGTATGAGAGAGCAAATTCATCTAGAAATTGATACTTTTTCACCACCCCAGTTTAGCTTTCCATTATTAATCTGATTTTGTATGATTAGGCTACTGTATGCATGTACTCTGATATATCTAATTATTGTATGTTTACATCTTATATACTACTTGTTGTTTTGTTGATGCTGTATTGCTTATGTCTTGATGTTTCAGATTTTTTTTTTTTTAAGTAATACAATAATGATTAAAGAAAATGACACTGAAATACTGACTGGAGTGGGTGCATTTGTCGCTATAGTTAAGTGTTATTTAACTCTTTCTTTTATTTCTCTCTTCATAAAATTTTGTATAATATCCTGTTCCTGCCTCATCTATAATAATTCCGGAAAGGAAATACACACATACTTTAAACAATATTTATTCACAGTTAAAAATGAATGAAATCAAACAATTATGTTTTGTGTAGAGCGCGTGGTTCGAACCGTCAACCTCTGGATCAGTGGATCTTAAAGGAGGGCAGTGTAAAATACCAAATTTCCACAAGAATAAACATACATAAAAAGCTAAATAAATTAAAACAGATGCAGTCGCTCCCTCCGGAGAGTGTGTTGTTTTTTTTTTTTTTTTTTTTTAACCAATCACAGCGGGAGAGGAGGGTCTTACGAGAGCTGCGACTGGGTGTTGTGAGGAGGGAAGAGAGAGATGGACAGGAGAGAAAGACGAGAGAGAAAACACAGGCAGAGGGAGAACAGCCCATAACCATGCCAAGCCGTGTCACACATTGCAGTAACAGAGGTAACAAAACATACTGTGTCATTCTGTTATCTAATTTACAAAACAGGCTACATGACAATTAAAAAAAAAAAAAAAATCAACTATTATTTGTTTTTGTTGTTTTACCATATTATTGTTTTTGTTGTTGTTGTTTTGTTTAGTTTTTATGTTTTTTGATTTGTAGCATTAAATTCTCCTGTGTGTGTGTTGTGTGTGTGTGTGTGTGTGTGTGTGTGTGTGCGTGTGTCTCTTTTTACAGATTCTTCAATACTTCAGAACCTCAAAAGACCATCTTTACCATCAGATTGTAAAGGTAGGATATGCAAATAT